ATCTTTAATTTTTTTTATTTTAATTATAAACTAATTTAATCATCTAAAACTATAATGTAACTTGATCAATTTAATATAAAATTTCATAATTTTTATACTTTCGAGATTTATTATTTTATGTAAAATATATATTATTGTTCTTAATACTTTTTAATAATTAACCACCATTAAAACTTATTTCGAGAGTATAATTGATATTGAGATGAGATTTTATACAATAACTTTTAATAATATATACCATGAATTGAACGAAACCAAAAATAGATCAATGTGATTTGTGTAGCATTAGTAATAAATAAACTTAATTTTCTACATAAACTAGGGAATTTCATAGAATATAATATATTTTTACCTATTTAAATTCACATAGAAATATAGTAAGTTAATAATGGAAGATAAATTTGATATAACTTGAGAAAGTATATGGAATAAAATAGAATAGAAAATCTCACTGTCACATTAATAATAAATACTTTAAAAGTACATTAATCTAAATTTTATGTTAATCAGTTATAGTGAAATTGAATGCCTTAGATATTTAACTCTTAGTGTTACTTAAAATTAATTTAGTTTTTCTTTAATTAGTTTAATTAATTAGTTTATTTAAATTATTTAATTATAATTGTTTAGATAAATTAAAATTAGTTATTTTTGATAATTAATTGTTTGCAATTTTTACAGAATAATATTTGATTTTCATCATTATATTACTTGAACTGACTAGTACTCTTACTAAAGTAAAAATTAGCTCATCATTGTTCACTTCTCTTATTTATTTTCTTTAGAACTATATTTTCTTCTTTTATTCATATTCATATATTTTCCTACAAAACCAATACTAATTCCTTTCTTTTCAATCTCTTTTACTTTCATTTCCTTTAATTATTTACTTATATAAATTTATTTTTACTTTTTTATAATTTTATGTTTTAGGTGTTCTACTAATAATTTAGTATTTCATTTTCTAGGTTTATGAATTTGGTGAACAATTGAGACAACATTTTAGAGGTAAATATGACATGAGTTACCATTTATACTCATATTTATATCTTTTCACATATTTTTTTAGTTTTTTGCATACATGGTTTAAGTTATATATTTCTATTTATGGTTATATGTATTTGAATTTGACTTATTTTTCCATTTATGTTAGACTCTTTTTGTAAATGTAAAGTAATTATTGGGTTGTTTTCTTTTCTTTCTTTTTTTCAAAGCTAGCAATTTAATTACAATTATTAATAAATAAATGTAATAATAATTAAAAATTATAAAAGGGAAAAATTAAATAGAAAAGAGCTATATATTATTGATAATATAAAAATTGAACTTTTGATAATACCAACATTTATTTTGATATTTATTATATTGAATAAAATTCTCTAAATAATTTTATTTTATTTGTGTAATCAGCATACTTATTTCTGTTTATCATTTTGATTGAAAATATGCGAGGTGAAATGTCATACACTACTTATTTCGCTCAATACCCTCAACCGAGCAGCGTTCATCAAATTTCCAAAAAAACTATGTTCCATTATTTTGGTTAGTCCTTTTGACCAAAAAAATGGCAAGCAAAATTTCATTCCGCTATTATTTCAGTCAATTTACTTTACTGAAAAAGTTAAATGTAAAATACCAAAAATATCCATTTCTATTAATTCAATCATGTAAATTGACCAAAATAGTGTTTGTTTAATTTTCAAGTTTACCCCTATTTCAGTCATCATTACTAACCAAAATAATTAAATAAAATAATATTTTTATAGTTTAGATAAATTATTTATCCAAATATATGAGTTATTTAATTATTTACTTTAGCAATTTTTCGATCTATTATTTTAATTGAATTAATAAATATTTTGATCAAGAAGAAATTCTCTCTGATATTCTATTTTGTATAGAGGGTGGTTGGACCAATAATTTGGTTAATGATCTTGACCGATATTTGCTTTTTTCACTCAATATTTTTTACCCAAGTTTACCTCTTTTCTAAGAGTGATATATGAAAAGAGATTTACTTATATACAAGATTTATATATTA